ATTCAACTCAATCTCAGCATCAGCTAATTCATCTTTGAACAACGTGTAAATATTTTTTAGATAATTTTGAAGGTCTTGAATCCAGGATAATACTTTTTCTGGCATTTCGTGTGCCCGATTACCTGATGGAAGGGTACTTATATTGTTTGACTTGTAAATTTTTGGAATTGGATCATATCCGATTAAAAAATTGTATACTGGTTCATAAAACTCCTGACCAAATTTAACAAAGCATCGTATTTGGAGATTGAGTCGTTTATCTGTGAGCCATTTAAGAAACATTTTCCATTTTTTCAAGTATGATTTCGGAACATTTTTGGCGTTTTCAAGTTGTTCAACAAAGAATTATGCAAAACAAATATGAACATCACGCCTATCAAGATATTGTCTTGCAGTTTTAAGCTCATATAGCCACTGTTGACGAATGGGTTGTTGGTACTTGCTTATTTCAAAATTAAATAGCACTTGATAAAGTTTTTTTAATATTTCAGATTTTAAATTTAATGAGCTATCTTTATCTGAAAGCCCATATCCATCATGAAGGTGAAAAGCTAGATTAAGTAAGTTAAATAGATGTTCCTTTAATAATAGTCCATTAATAGCATCTAATTTTCCAAATGACTTATTTTCAAAATTCATTAGAGCGATATGGGTTACATGTAATCTGCAAGGAATTCGAAACGATTTAGTGGATGCTAATAAATTAAATTTAGCAATCGCACCATTGGCCTCCAAAGACATATAAGCAGTATTATCAGTTAGCCAAAAATGACACTTTTGGGGGTCAATTCCTTTTTGCTTACATGTTTCGAATACTGTAGTCAAAACAGTTTTGGCATTACAATGTGTTATATCAGTTAATTTGGCTACAGTAATTATTGGTTTATTTTTAATGTTGTCCCAATACGAGAAACAAACAATTAACACTTTTATCTCGCCTCGTGTACTTTCATCAGCCATAATGCCGTAGCTAAAAAATTTAGAAGAAGCTTCTTTAGGACTATTTTGATTAAAAGCTATGGCTGCAACTTCATTATTCCAATGTGATAAAGTCGCTGATGTTATCCAATGTTGTGGCATCTCTCCAGTTAAGAATCAGTACATAGCTTTAGTATATTCTACTGTTGCATGTATAGTGATGTGTCCTATATTACTTATATCAGTAGCTAATTTTACAAATTTAGCATTATATTCCTTATTATTAGATTTGAACAATTTGTTGGCCATACGTTGAAATTCAGCAGGTCGAATTTGTTTTGCTTTACAAATAGAAGACCGAATTTTTGAAATTTGTTCTTGTTTATATTGTTTGGCTCTTGCTATTTGTACAGAGAGCGAATGACACAGATCTGTAGTTACATGTTTATTTTTTTTTAAGCGTTGATTTTCTCGTTCTAAATTCTTATTTTTTAATTCTAATGCGTCAATGGTACATTCTTGTTTATAAAGACTAGCATCAACAAATTCACACGCTTTTTTTTGTAAGTAAGTAGAAATTATCTCTTCTTTATGATTTCCTCGAGGATAGGTCATAGTTTGAAAAAGATTTAACACATTAAATACTTAAGTATCAGATAAGTTACAAATGCACAGAAATATATCATTGCGTTTTCTTTGAATATAAGTGTTCATTTCTCGGGATTCAAAAATTTTTTTTATCTTAGAATTAAAATCGGCATCATCTAGTTGAGTGAATATTGGAATTAGATAATCAAGCAAATTTTTTGAATGTCAATATTCATTTCTCGAGATTCGAAAACACTTTTTATTCTAAATATGAAGTCGTTATCATTTAGTTGACCGAATGTTGGAATTAGGTGATCAAGTAATTTTTTTTGAACATTAATATTTACTTCTCGAGATTCAAAGAGTTTTTTTATTATAGAACTAAAATCATCATCACTCAATTGGGCGAATGTTGGGATAAAATGATTAAGCATCATTTGGGGATTATTTTTAATACTTTGAAATATTTTCCATTGTTCACATTCTCGTGACTTGCGACTTTCTTTAAGATGTCTATTACGTGGTTTTAACTGACCCATTATAGTATATTTTTAAAATGGTCTATGAGTTGATTACAATTATAGAACTTGAGGAATACAAGAAATAGCTTTCGCGCGTAGAAATAATTTGAATTTTCTTAGAAAATTTAAGTAATTTTTTATTTTATCTATCTATTTAACTTATTATTCCCTCATGCTTTTTTATAATATTTTATAAAATTATAGAACCATAGAATTTGCGAAATTAATAATTACAAATATTAATTGAATATTACTAAAGATGAAAAAAAGATAATTAATTTAGGGTATTGTTCGTTTTGACATTTGGCACACATTACACTTTTTATTATTTATGTATTCACATTTATGTAGTAATAATTATGCTTATTTTTTTTATTAAAGTCACGCCAGTCTTTTATGGAGGTGTAGGTTGTTTCAGTATAATTTCACAATAGATGGCCGAGAAAAAGCCAACCTGCATTATTTAAATTCATGTATAATTTAAAATTTTTTTAATAAAATTAATTTTTGGATGATGAATAAAGCAATATGAATTATTTTCGATGCAAACCCGTCATCGTGCATTCAATTATATTTTGTAGTGAACACAATCTCCAACAAATTAACTGATTGTTTCCAATACAAATATAATTAAAAACCCGGTGACAGGTTTTCCCTTAGTGGCGCCCATATAATTAGCGATTAAATATAATTTACAAGATTAACAATTGTGCTGATGAATTAATAATGATAGCTTTAAGCATTCGATTTTAAAAATCACTGATTGCATCATTTTCGGCAAGGAAGTTTTGCATATTTGGGAATTTACTTATTAATTCAACAATTAGTTAATTTAATAATTAAATTATTCAATAATTATATGAGTGCTGCCAAGGGAAAACTTATCATCGAGCATTCAATTAAATTTTGTAGCGAATGCACCTCAACAAATTAGACTAATTGTTTTTGATACAAAACATAATTGAAGACCTGATGACAGTTTTTCCCTTGGCGGCATTCATATAATCAGCGATTAAATATAATTTACAATATTGATATGCAGATTAACAATTATGCAGATAAATTAATAGTGATAGCTTTAAGTATTCGATTTCAAATAATGATAAAGTTGCAAAACTTATAATAATCACTGATTGTATCATTTTTGACAAGGAGGTTCTACATATTTGGAGAATTTATTTACTAATTTTAATAATTGCTTAACAATTCCCATTACTATCTATGTCAACATAAAAAGATGAATTTATTTAATCAGAATCTAAAAATAATCCGTAAATAAGTGGAATGCAATTGTATATAAAAAATCTTTGCTTAATAATTGAAGATTTTTATGATACTTTATTAGATTATTACGGCATACCTTCTGAATTACGTATTTCTCAATACACGATTATTAAAAAGCTAATCGCAAATAAATATAAATTTGGAAAATGTGTTACAATAACTTCAAATAAACAGGCTTATAAACCTTTTAAATATTAAATACGCATTAATGGTTCTCTAAATGGTTAAACACTAAAAGTATAAATCTGAATAAATGCTAATACTAACTTTCATGATGTAATAATTTTAACTAATTATATTTTCATTATTACTTTATTAAGATATTCATATTTTTCCATAATTATATCAACAAGAAAATAATCGTATTCACAAGTGTAGACAGCGAATTACTAATATAAAAAAAATAAATCATTAGTATTATTGGCACAATTACATGTTGCTATAATAATAAGAATAGATCTATCGAATCTTTTAAAGCTTACCATATTAAACATAGACAAGACGAATCACTTAAAGCACATACTAACTGTATTTAAAAGTTAAGACTGATTCTGAAGGGCAATAAATTAGCATTGTTAGCGTAATAACATACCTATATAATAAATTAAGATAAGCGCATCCATACTTTCCATATATATGTTGACAAGACGAATCACTTAGGATATAACAATGGCTATATTCGAAAGTATGGACTCCAGTATTAATTAAGATGAACTACTTAAAATAAATGCTCCTATCTGAAAGTGTAGACTTCAGGTACTAATTCTAAAAAGACAAATTAATCAGCATTGTTAGCATAACAATAATAATTTTGAACAGCTATATCGAAATAAGCGCATCATACTTCTATATTTATGTTGACAAGACGAACTACTAGAGTATAGACCAGAGTGTCCAGCTATGTCTAGCATCTAAAATAGTACTAGTGATATTACGGAAACAATCAAGTTAAATTCGATATAAACTTTTTTCTTTAAACATATAAAATTAAAATAAAACAATTCCACTCGAATTTGGTTATGTAATTACCGTAATATCACTAGTATTATTTATATACTAGAAATAACAGGACTCCTGGTGCAAACTCTAGTAGCCAACAATTAAGAAGGCTTTTAAAAGAATATCGCGTTAGTAAATCCAGCATTAATGTCAGAATTCCTATATAATGACACCTATTTTTCCCAAAAGTAATGTACCTTCATTTTTTAACATTAATATGCCACCTAGACGCCCTTGCACGCATAATCCTCATTCGAAAACATTTAATTCTTATTCTCAGAAAAAAAAAGATCATCTACCATATATAACCAGGATACTCTTTTTAGTGATAAAATTTGCGCTGTTTTTTCTGTAGAAGTTGATAAAAGTGGTGTGAGATTTTCAGCCTTCATAAAAACAACCCCGATTCAAAGTACTTTAAACAAAAGATACCGAGATAAATATGTTAAATGGCGTTTAACCCAAATTAAAAGTATTTTTAACCCAACTTATAACATCAATGAAACCTAAAAAAAAATATGTTCCCTATATAGTACTTTAGATAATGATAAAAAGTTAAATCATTCATTCAATCATTTGCTTTCACTTCGTGAAACCAAAGAATATAAAACCTACATCAACGCTACTTGTATTTATGTTGCTAGGACAACTAAGGATACCCCATGGTTTTCAACACAAATTACACCACCCTCTATGTGTACTATATGGTACTTTGGAACCGTCTCTGGTTTTCTAAAAAACACAGAAATTGGAAAAGTTGAATTTGAGTACGATATTCAGTACAAGGAAATAGCTGCTAAGCAGCTCAATACTCAAATAAATGACCAATATCGGTTTTTTGGAAACAGAGAATTGGATTTCGAGTATATTAGAAATAAAGAGACAGTGTTTGAAAATGATAGTATAGGGGATCAAAAAAATGTTAGTAAAGGGGACCTAGAAGATGATAGTGGAGAGGATCAAGACGACAATAGCAGAGGGAACCAAGATGATAGTAGAGGTAACCAAGAAAGTGATAGTAAAGGGAATCAAGAAAATAATAGAGGGAACCAACCTGAAATAATTGAATTGTTAAGCGATGAAGACCAAACACCAGAGATAATTGAAATTTCAAGTGATGAAGAAAGCCAAATACCTGAAATAATCGAATTATCAAGCGATGAAGAGGTGTTTGAAAAAAAACTAATTGCTATTTCTAGAGAACAAACTCCCGAAACAGCTGAAATAAAATTAAATCTATAGGATAACTTATCTTTGATTCTATTTCTGCATTTATGTTTAATTTTTGT